CCCCTTCTCTTTCATCTGAGTTCCCCTTCTCCTCATAATATGGACTATATATTGAAATGGCAATTTTTACTGTTTGAAACTGTAATTTTTTAAGATGAAAGAGTCGTTATTTACTATAGTGACAGCTACTAATCACTTATTTTGGATATTAAATTATAAACTGTGGCTTTTATACTTTCTATATTAAGGGAATCCGAGTGAATATTACAGTTTATTTTTCCAAAGTCTATCTTTGCTCTCATTCAATTTTCTTTCACTATCTTTCACTCAATTAACATCTTCATAACTCGAACAGATACAACAAAACTTCCAGCTTACTAGAATTTAAGTTTGATGGATTCCCATCGAACTAAATGTGATGAAGAGAATAAAACTCTCAAACAAAAAAGGAATGATGGAATTTCCATCTGTTAACTTCAATTAGATACACTAGTCATTTGTGACCCTATAGGCTGATCAAAATTCTAATTACAGTTTATTTTTTTCCGTGCGTTGTGATATTCACTTCCTTGATTCTCATCAAAAATCTTCACACAAATGTGAAATTATTAAATACTCGCGAATTATAAAAATTAAGTACAGGAATTAAAGTATTTACTGTTTTTATACTATTGCAAAAATAAAATACAAATGTAAAATATTTTTTTATAGAAACGATAAGCTGTTTATTTAATTCTTTAATAGTATTAAATTTATCTACCTGAAAAAGCTTTATGTATTCGTAGAATTAAGCTAAAATATTTTTTTGATAAAAGCTTTTAAAAATTATTTTAAAAAAAATGTATTTATTGTAAAATTCAGGTTTTTTTATTTTTATTCAAATAATATTTAAAGCAAAAATTTTTTTAAATAATAAATTAAAAAATAAATATTTAAAAAAAATTCAGTAATTTTTATAATATTCACGTCGAAAACAATAAAAAATAAATTTATTAAACTAGTGATTATTATTTATCTTCTAAAATTCAATATAAAATTTTTAACCATCAACTTTACGAGTTTGTTATTACACGAAGCCGTTATAAATAAAGTTTAGTTAAAATTTTTTTGTTCGTTAATTCAATAAAAAATATATTCATCATGCAGAAGATTTAGTATGGCGAAACTGACGGTAACATCTAAACTTCCTGGCGCGAAATGAAAGAAAAATTTTATTAGTCCGCGTGAGCTTTTGGTATTACGATCGGGCCAGTCACGGGTCGACGACTAGACGCGAACCGATGAAATATCGCCCGTCCGCTGAAAATATTGCTCGGTTCCGCGATCCGCTTAAACCCGATCCGACACTCGGGGTAACTCGACGCCTCAAGAATAAGGACTCGATGGATTACATTTGCCAACGTATATATGTTTATACTGCGATGACAGGTTGACGAATTTCAGAGGAATAATAATAAAAATAATTTTATTTTTTAACACCAAATCGCGTTAATAATGCCAAAAGAGCGTAATAAAAATGTTTTTTTTTTTTCAATCAACTAAAAAATGTATAAAAATAAAAATCTAATTGAAAAACGCAAAAAAAATTTTTTTTCAGCATACGCCCTTTTGGTTCTAAGAAAAAAAAAATTTTAAACCCAATTTTTTTAAATTTTCAATTTTTCGTATTTTGTAAAAATTCACTGAAAAAAAAAAAAATTAAAATAAAATTTTTTGCTTCTGACAAAAATTGACAATTTCAAAAAATTGGGCTATAATAATATTTTCAGTGCAATTTCCAAAAATCATTTCGTATTTTGTAAAAATTCACTGAAAAAAAAAAAATTAAAAATAAAATTTTTTGCTTCTGACAAAAATTGACAATTTCAAAAAATTGGGCTATAATAATATTTTCAGTGCAATTTCCAAAAATCATTTTTTTATTAAATCTCGACGTTTGGAGGTTCTTAGAAACTACTTTGACTATTTTTTCACATACGCATTTTTGGCTTTAAGAATTTTTTTTCTTAAAACCAAAAGGGCGTATATTAAAAAAATTTTTTTTTTGCGTTTTTCAACCAGATTTTTATTTTCATACATTCCCTAGTTGATTAGAGAAAAAACATTTTTTTTATACGACCTTTTAGCATTAGTAACGCAAAATATTTATATTTTCAGTACTCGGATTTAAGCGATACAACCTACCCAAATTTAAGCAAAACAGTATTTGCTATTTTTATGGTCCTTGTACCAATTTTATTGCTCAACATGTTAATTGCTATGATGGGTAATACATACGCTCATGTTATTGAACAAAGTGAAAAGGAATGGATGAAACAGGTAATTTTTAATTCTATTTCCAGTCATACTAATGTACACTCAGCTACTGAAATAATTGATTAAACTTTCAACCACTAAACGACATGCCATTTTTTTTTTTATATTTTTACTCTGAAAAATTAAAAAAAAAACACTATTTAATGGAAGATATGTTAGACTAATCGTTCAGCACTCACAAAAATATTTTTAGTTATAATTCAATAATGATGAAAATAAATCTTGATAAAAGTCAATCAAGCTATTTAATACTGCAATTATTAACTCGACTGTAATGTTTAATGTATATTTTTATTTTCAAATATTATTTCATTAAAACACTTTAATATATACTTCTCTGGTTGTAATAAAACATTTAATGTTATAAATGGCTTTCATTAATTAAGAACAAATGAATGAGTTATATTAACGAAAGTTCAACTTTAGTATTACTTGAAAAACTGTCATTATGATAAATTAAACTGGAATAAATTTATGTTTTTAGAAGAGAGACATTTAAATATTAAATTGACTCGACAGTCGATATTTATATTAAACCGCTGAACAAGTGACGTTATATGAATTTTTTTAGTGGGCAAAAATAGTAGTATCACTGGAGCGCGCAGTGTCGCAAAAAGACGCTCACAATTATTTGCAAGAATACAGCATAAAATTAGGTCCCGGAGATGACCCAAATAATCCAGCCTCCGAGCAGCGAGGTGTCATGGTGATTAAAAGTAAATCTAAAACCCGTGCCAGACAGAGAAAAGGCGCACTGGCTAATTGGAAGGTCAGTACTTGCTTATATATTAAATCTCTTTACAATTTCTGCTGAACTCACATTTAAAAATAATTCTTTTTTCACACTTTAGATAAATTTTTAAAAAATTATAAATTAGTAAATCGTAAAAATTTTCAAAATAAATAATATTAATTTTTAATGCAGTTAAAAATTATCTTCAACTATATTAAAAAAATTCTATGGAAAAAAATTTTTTTTAAATGTTTTTTTGAAAATTTTTGGAGCTTTAAGAAGAAAAATTTTTTTTAACAAAATTTTAAGAGTTCCCCGTTTAGTTCTTCCTTTTTCTTCATGATTTAAAAATATTAAAATATCCTTAAATAAATTAGATTAATTAAATTAGACTAAAAGCAAAAAATAATAAATAAATTTAAAAATAATTGTTTTTTTACACTTTAAATAAATTTTTAAAAAATTATAAAATAGTAAATCTTAGAAATTTACTTACAAAATTTTCAAAATAAATAATATTAATTTTTAATGCAGTTAAAAATTATCTTCAACTATATTAAAAAAATTCTATGGACAAAAAATTTATTTTGAATATTTCTTTTAAAATTTTGCAAACTTTTAAAGAAAAAATTTTTTTAACAAAAATTTGTTCCCTGTTTTGCCCTTCACTTAATTATTTTAAAATATTAAATAAATTAGACTAAAAGCGCAAACTAAAAATATTTTTGTAAAAATTTATCTTTTAATCCTAAAAAAAAAAAAAGCGAGTAGGAAAAGTGACAATAAACGCCCTCCGCAAGCGAGGAATGACCGGGGAAGAATTGAGGTGCATAATGTGGGGCCGGGCTTCGATTTCTACCCCAGTCCGAGCCAGGTAAACCTAAGCCACAACACTCGACATATCCTCCCGGTAGTTACCAATCTGGAGCTTTTATTTGTATTCAGCCCGCACTTGAACGAGCGAGAAATCTCGGGGTTGCCAGCAGCATCAGTGATGGGAGGAGCATCGGTACCTCCGCAGCCGCTCGTACCGGCACCGACGTTACCACCGGGATTCGGGGATGCTCTCACAGCGGCTCTGGACGTGATGGCCTTTGCCCAAGACATTGACCCGAGTGGCGTAGCCGAAGGAATAACAAACACCGGATACTTAATATCGGACGGGCATCAGTCAAAAGGTCTGCCAATGACAATCACTGAATCCTCGATATCTCCAACAACTGTTATTGAGATGGGTATAAATAAAACTCCTGATGCGATAGACTGTCCTACGAGCTATAGTGTGTTTCCGCCGGAGATTAGTACTGGACATAAAAGATCTGAAAAGCAATTGAGGATAAGACCCTTTTTGTATTTATTTATCAGAATGTATTGTGTACATCTTTTTGCGTAGCCTCGGGCTCGACATCGGGGCCACGGAAATTGAGTTTTCATTTATGAATCTCCAGTGCAGCACAGTAGCATGTAGCATGTACCACGTATAGTAGCATCTATCGTGTATCGTATATTGTACATCGTATATTGTAGATTTACTCCTTTCTCTCTTTGGATCCTGAACAGTCCACTAGCATATGTGTACGATATACACCCACACAGTATAGCAGTTTTGTGCTTTTACTTGATATGACCGTCTGGAAATGCTCTAGCTCTAGTTTTCCTATTTCTGTACCTTTTGACCTCACGATACGACGAACCTTTCATAGGAAATCCCATTAGTGGAGTTGCTCGGGTAGATCAGAATCGACTCAATGGGCCACCACCTGAGGACAGCGCCAAGAGCGACCCGGATCCTTTGCTGAATCTGGTGATTGCCTCGGAGAGCCCCGAGTCCCAGCACGAGGCTCTGCTCAGGATGGCCGAGGAGGCGAGAATTTCTAGCGAAGTTAAAGTTAAGCTCGATGCCTCTGTTCTAGAGTCCTTTGGCCTGGGACTAGCTCCGGCCGAGGTCCTTGCTCAGGCGCCTGTTACTGAAAAGGACAAGCTCTTTGAAGAGTCCAGTGATGATATTTGTGGAAGTAAGTCCTTTCTTAAGCTTCATTAGCTTAATTACTAGCATTTAGCCAAATTTATACCTCTACACGGAGAAAAATTAATTACTATATGAAAATATTAACTCCTACTATCTGAAATGGTAATAAAATTAATTAATCACAAAATAATAGGGGTTATCATTGACAATTGTTCTAGTTACTATTAATAATGGTAACGATTACTATCGAAAATGATAATTGGAATTATTAAAAATTATAACTGCTATAATCGAAGATGCGGTAACTGTAACCATCTCAGATTGTAAAAATTCTGAAAGAAAAAATAATATAAATTTAATTCTTTATTTGCATCCATATTTTAGTTATGAACATTTTTTCCTTCAAAATATTAAAACAAATGATAACACAATTGTTTAAATCCATATATGATAAAAATTTCCAAATATTAGAGCTGTTATTGATTATTTTTAATGATTGACTATGATTATCAAAATAACAATCATCCAAAATTTGGGTTATTAAAAAAGTCTTATTATTATCAATTATTAATATATTTTCATAAGATAAAATAATGAAACTTCATTTGATGGTTCCATTATAATTGAATTAATTGTAATCCTATCATCTATATTATTAAGAGAATATTATTAAGAGAAAATACTCGATCGCTAGATTCGTAATTAATAAATGACGTTATATCTTGTGAATTATTGACATTTTTAAAGATATAAGTTCACTCCGACATTATACTCATTGAGACCTTTCATTTGTGTACCCACATGAATTTTTGATATATTTATATATTAGGGTGTGCCAAAATGTATCTTCCTTGATGGACCTTTTAAAATTGGAATTTTGAGTTCCGCTTTTAAGAGGAGTTGTGTTTGGGCATTTCCTGACATATTTTGAGCGTAAAGGATTTATTTGATTTTTATAGAATTTTTTAACAGGAGTTTTGTTTAGCCATTTTTGCTAGAATTTCAAAATTTCAAAATTTGGCTGAACAAAACTCCTGTTAAAAAATTCTACAAAAATCAAATAAATCCTTTACGCCCAAAATTTGTCAGGAAATGCCCAAACACAACTCCTCTTAAAAGCGGAACTCAAAATTCCAATTTTAAAAGGTCCATCAAGGAAGATACATTTTGGCACACCCTACAGTAACTGTACATATACTAGTGTTTTACAAATAGGTAAAATTTAACCAAAAGAGTTCGTTAGTTAGAGGCTGTCAGCTAAGCCCTATATGAGTTTAGACCAAATACTTATTTTTTTTCTTAAAAGTAGAGAGTCTACTGAGAAAAATGCCGCTGGGCAGAAGTCTTTAAGTTATATAGAAGCTGAGATACAAATATTCGAAAATCAGTGAAAAATCGACTTTTTTACAAATTCAAAAAATCCTCCAGCAGCCGGATTTGATTATATCGGGTCCAAATTTTCAGGATC